GGTCTAATTATCCGCAATTTTAGATTGCCATGTAATAGGTGATCCTTCGATTCACAAACAACTATTAACTTGAAAGCTTCTAAGGTTGTAGCTAAATGTTAAAAAATAAAAAGGTGACCGTTGCTTAAGCCTTTACTTACTAACTTTATAAGATATATAAATAAACAAAACTTAGCTATTTGTATTATACAGAATACACTTTTATCTTAGAATCACCAGTTTTATATAGAATGAAATTTACTGCGCAATCCCTATAGCTATTTCATATTGTCTTCCCTAATCTTTGCTTTGAAAATGAGAATACTTACTATATGCATCTTTCAAAAAATATCAGAAATTTTCACCCATGAACGAGTATGAATCAAAACTTGGTGTATTTGCACCAGATGGCAGATTAATTCAAGTAGAGTATGCACAAAATGCATCCAACCAAGGTGGAACAATTGTATTACAAGCACTTGAAAGCAAAATTGTTATATGCTATGAAATAAGAAATACAAACCCATTGATAATACCTATGTCTAAAATTCATACTATCGATCAGGACAGGAATATATACATGATCTTTAGTGGATTCAAAGCAGATTCATTAATAATCGCCGATAAAGCTATCGATATTGTTTGTAATTATAAATATTCCACATCTGAAGATATTTCACTGCCAAGGCTTGCAAGAGACATAGCCAAGTACAACAAACTTTTACGGTAAATCAAAAACTAAGACCTTTTGGACTTAGATCAGTTTTGTTTGGATTTGAAAAAGAAGTACCAAAAATATTTGTGATTGAGACAGATGGCAATTTTTCTGAATATTCAAGATGTGCACTTGGATTTAAGAATGAAGTATGCAATGAGTTTTTGACTACATCAAATAATGAAAATAGTGCATTTAGGACACTATCAGAAGTGGTACAGATGAATTATATTAAAGTTGACGGGTATATACTTGATCAAAATGGACTCATAAAGCTTTCGAAGCAACAAATCAAGGAGTTTATGGAATAAATTTCAAGCTGAATGTTTCTAATATTTTGGCAATATTACCAAGTATTGTTAGACAAAGCTGGACATAAGATGTAATTTTATGATATTTGCACAATAGTCAATTGTAACATAAAATTTTAAGCATTAGTTTATTTTATTGCCTTTAAAAGTAAATATTTACATAGTTTTTAATATGCTATTGTTTACGTTTCTAAAACTCATTAGAGAGATTCTGAAACAATTTTTTATTTTGATTTACACAACACAATCAAATGAAATTCTTACTGTGCATTATCATCGCAAAATCATTTGTCATAGCGCCATATGAGATTAATGACTCATCTAAGAGTCAAGAGAGACTTACAAATGCCAATGAAATGGTTTTTAGCACAACAGGAACGCCACTGGATTTTACCATAAAAAACATTTACACAAAACATGGAAAAAGAGTTGGAAAGGCATTGTATACGGAAAGTGGACGTTTTCTAAGTCTTGATGGAGATGAAATACATATGACTCAACTCGTGCCTACCGAGGATAACGGTACTACCATTGATGAAAGAATAGATATAGGATTAAGTGATAATGATTTTGACGCTCTAAATACTTCAGTAGATCTCTTAGAGCTTCATAACAAAATTTTTAATATTAGCAAACTGGGAAAATGTCTAGTAAGAAATTCGAATAAAAATCTGTCAGTTGGTTCATGCAAATCAAATCAAGCAAAATTTATATTAATTGAATCTGATAAAGATAGAAAGAAAAATGAAAAAACAATAAAATCAAAAGAAGAAGAAAAAGGTGGTAAAGATACAAGCACAAAAACAGATACTAATTCAAAGCCAACAAACACAGGAACGCCTGCAAATACGACTTTTATTGTTTTAAATGGCAAAAATACATCCGAACTCGACAGTATTCAATCGTTGATTTTAGGAAATAAAGCTCTACCATTACAAGTGAGAAGAGAACATACAGATTCCAAGCAAAGACATAAGAATTCGAAAAGAAGAAAACCACACAGCTCACCTGATGAAGAAAGTACAGATTTAAAAAAAGAAAAGGTGGAATCGCGCAGCATGTCTGATGAGGAATATTCCCCGCAACTATCAGAAGATAATGAAGTGTCAGACCCCGATGATAATAAATATAGAAGACGAAAAACAAGCAAAAAACCACAGTCAAGAAACATGGGTATAAATAAAAACTTACAAACGAATGAAAATAATGTCAAATCACATCCACAACCTATAATTTTAGTTCCAGTGAATCAAACTCAACCGTCAGCTATTCAACCTTCACCCAATAGTCAAATCATGCCGTCATCAGAAGGTATCATACAAAATCCATCATTCTATTCTCAGCCTTCAATGAGCCCAATACCAAATCAACCAACAATCAATCATACTCCTTCATATCCCCCGCAAACTGGTAGTGACTACAAAAAAGATCTTAACAATCTCAACAGTTATACAAGTCCTGCACCATCATATACATCTCCCTCACAAACCAGCTCATTCGCACAGCAATTGCCATCTGCATCTCCACAACAGATAGGTAACAATCAGCAATATTCTAATTCTAATACACTACCTAACCAATATATTCAACAACTGTCTAGCTTTTTAGCTAATGGAATTCCAGTTATTCTTGGAAACAACCAATCTACACAAAGTCCTGGCACTCACAACACCATTCCAAGTTCTATTCCTCAAACTGTACCTAACACTACAACACCTGGGGATACACAAATGCCTAAGCAACCAGATTACTCACAAAGCTTACCAATAGACATAAAAGGATTACAGCAGCAGTTGATGAATGTTTTAGGAATGGGGTCATAACAAGTACAATAATCACTTACAACTCTAAGCATATACTTTTGCTTTAGATTAAGTATTCAAAATAAATTAAACTCTTTTTAACAAGATATTAATTTGTACATTAATATTAAAAACAAGATACATTTTGCACAATGCTTTACTTGAATATTGTTTACTAGTGTTTCACTGTGTTATATCAAATCATGAATGCAATAAAAACAATGAAATGCATGTGTCTTATATTCATTCTATTCCTCTTTATATCCAATTGCATATACCTGACAGACATAAATGGCAATTTTATAAGCTTTGATCAAGAAAGGAATATATTATACGCCACTAAATCCAACTCAAGCCCACTTTCATTTCATTTTGTAAGAAAAAAAGACCCAAGCCATATAAATATTAGAAAGTGGATTTTATGGATAGACAAAGACAAAACACTTACGCTTGGAAGAGACAATGATAAAGTTATTTTAAAAAAAATTAGTAAAAATGAAAGCCCAGATTTATTTGAAATAATGAAATCAACAAATAACAAAGCAACCATAAAGTTTAGAAATAAAGATAAATGCATAGTATCACAAAATGGCTTGATAATAAAAATGGGTAGCTGCAAACACAGTAATAGTCAATTTTACAAAGTTAAGGAAATAGAACAACCTGATAAAGGAAAAGATACAGACCAAGGAAAAGTTAAATACATAGAGGAGGTTCTCATGGAATTTGGAAATGAAATTGCTAGGGCTTTGCCAGAGCTTGTTGAAGAGGAAGTAACCATACAGAATAATACTTTGAAAAATAACTTGATAAATACAAACGAAACAGAAAAACCTTTAAAGGCTGAGAATGAAAAGAAAAAGCTTAAAAAAGAACTACACCCTCAAAAATCACAATCAGATAATGCAGAACCTGGAAATAAAGACATAGAATATGTTAAAATTAGCAAAACGGAGGCACAGAAACTGTTAGAAATTGTAAACAGTCTTGCTCAGTTAGAACAGCAAAAAAGGACAGTACCAAATCCACAAATAAGTGCTCAACCATCCAACAGTGATCTTTCAACATTCCCACGGGTGGATTCTAAAAACGACAAAACTTCGCCACTCAGCCCAATGGGAAACATTGCAACGCATCCTACACTTACGAATCCAACCAATGGGTCTTCAAATTATTCTTCGATGCCAAGCAATCTTTTCAAAGCACAAAATGGTTTACAGCCATCCAATATTACAAATAATATGGGAAGTCCGTGGATGCATGATAACACTGGCATACACCCCTCTCAACCCAACCCAAACATGACACAGTTTCCATATCCACCAGCAGGCCAACCAATTCCACATTATGCAAGTACAAATCCACCCACAGAATACTACACAAAGAACATAAATAAAGAACGTATGAACTTGGATATAATACAGTTACTAATAGACAGTAAAGACCCCACACTTAGAAAGCTAGGATTGCAACTTGCGATCGATAGCTTAACGAAATCTGATTCAGGCACAGCATCACTAAATTCTGAATTGGCAACAAAGATCCTTTTACTGCTAAAATCAAATGAAAATAACAAAGAGAACGAGGAAAAGTCAAAAAAGGATACTGAAGTGGCTCTTTTAGAATATAGACTTGGCCAATTAGAGACTAATCGCCAAATACAACAAAATGACAAAATAAATGAAGCCAAAAAGAATAAAAAGGCAAGAAAAAAAGAGTGGAGGTGGTGGTTTGTTTGGCAGTCTTTCTAAACTTACACCACAAGGAATGGCGGCAGATGCTGCAATGAAGGCATTAGGCGGAGACTGAAAAGCCATTAAACATTGATAAAAATTAATTAAAAGTACTATTTATATATTTTAGCTGATAAAATTCCAGCAATATTAGTCTATATTTATTAAAAACCAGTGTAATATTAAAAAAACAGTTATATAGTTTGTTTTTCTATGTAAACTTGAAACATGCAATAATGTTTCATCAAATAAAAATAAAACCAAAATAACAAATGAAAGCAACGATGTTTATCCATCTAGCAATGGCATTGTGCTTAGTGGAAGTAGTGATACAGAAATATTCAAGAACTGGAAACGTTAAATATTTAAATCACGAGCTTAAATTTGTAAAAGGTGATCTAAACAATAAATCAATCTATTGGAGTTTAGATAGTAACCGTAAGAATGTTTATAGAATAAGGTTTGGAAGACACTACTTGGATGTATCTAGAAAAGGCGCAACATTAATTAAAAAGGATGGGGGAGAAGCCCTTGAAAAGTTCAGTGAAGAACAAAGATTAACCGAAATTAAAAACTATTTGGATAAACAAAATACCGAAAACGAGCAGAAGACTAAACCCACAGATGAACAAGGAAGTGAAGAGCGAGAAGGTAACACTACAATGGATTCTGACGTGAAGACTGGAACATCGACATCAAAACATGAAAATTCCGGGGCCAGTGGCACAGCATCAAAAATAGTACGTGATCCTATAATCGAAAAAAGTTCTAGACTGACAGATGGTTTTATTGATTCACTAACCCCAGAATTCCTAAGCCATTTGACAGAAAATGAAACGTATGAAATAAGCACAGCATTTGATAAGAACCAAACATCAACACTTAAGGAAAACAATGAGGATGATGATAAAAAAGAGATAGAAACAAACAAAAAACCAAAGATAGAAGTGATAAAATCATCAAAAAACGTGAAAGAGTCAAATTTAGTTGATAAGAAAGAGTCAACCAAAACTGAAACAGCACAAAACACTAGCGGGAACCAATCAACGGGAGGAAGAACACGAAGAAATGGATTTGTTTTCGAATTGTTTCCAGTCTTTATGCATACACTTGATAAAAAAATTTTAATATTAGTTGGTGAAAAATGTTTAACACAAAGCTTAAAATTTGAAAAATGCAATTTCGATGATTATTGGAATCTTAGCGATGAGTTTTACTGGAACATTTTTAAAGTTGAGAACGTCAACTTCCTTGATGGTCTAAAAAAGATGATAGATGATAAAGCTAAAAACAATGATGATGTAAAACGCAATCAATTTGCAAAAACAGAAAATTGTCCAAATCCTTGTCCAGAAGGCGATTGCCAGAGCGGTGACGAAGATGGTGATGAGTCAAAAAGTATAATGCATCCTGCTGATCAACCAATAAATCCTCAGTTTAATCCTAAGGCTGGGTCGTTAATGCCAGCTATGGCTCATCCACCAATGGCTAATCCTATGATGGCATCAGGTAATATAGGAATGCGACAGTTGCCAGCTCAGCCCATCAATACACAGAATGTAGCACCTGCCAGTAACCAAATAACTTTGACTAAAGAGCTGATGGACAAATTACTTGAGGCTGCTAGGGAGAGGTAGTAAAAATATACAATAAACAAATATACTTTTTCATAGATGAATAAAATTTTATTTAATTAGTGTTGATTTTTTAAATTTCTATCATCAAGTGTTCATTTGTGTATTTATTACGCCTTTACATTATCAATCTGTCATATTTTAAGATTAAAATTTACGTAACAACAGCACATAGCCTAATTGATCAAAAATTACATAATAATCAGAAATTATACTAAAATACGGTATTTAACCGTTAAATATAAGTTTACAAGTATTATTTATAATATTAATATTTTTATAACAGTATTATTCAAAATTTGATGCTTCAAACCGTTTCGAACCTTTTATAAAGTAACCACAAATTTAAATTGGCAATAAATTATCAGAAACGGTATGTTTCAAAATGAAACATGTTTGAAAATAATATTTAAAAAGAAATCTCATTTTATGTGAAATGCTTTTTATGCTTTTTACAAGCCTGGCGTTTACATTGAATCGTGAAAAAGACAGCTACGATTTCTTTATTTATACATCAGAATCAGGCAACCGAAAAGGTGTAGAACTAAAAAATGGTGAATATGGTATTGGCAATGATCCAACAATGTTCAAGCTTGTCTATGAAGATAGCCAGTTTTANATTAAGCCAACAAAGGATGAAAATTCATATCTTACACTCAAAGGCCATGGGCTGGTACTAACTGAGCAAAAGAAGCCTTGGACAATAGCAAGGAATCGAAACATTTCAGATAGTACGGGAAACAACCATTATCAACTTAAATCAGGTGATATTTGTTTATCTAAACGTGGAAGTATCTTGAGTGGTGTTAACTGTGCTATTACGGATGAAAACCAGTTGTTCTTCTTCGTAGCTCCTGCGAATGGCGAGAACGAGCGAAATCTCAAAAAAGTACTCGAGAAAGTGGTTGAGGTCAATTTAATAAAAGATAGTAAAATGAAAAAAGCAAAAGTAGATGATGGCAAGGAGAACATTGATGTCGTTCATGTTTTTCTTAAGCAGGCTGTTAAGACAGAAACAAAGACAATTATTCAGCAGGCAGCACCTGATAAACATGAAATTAAAAAAGATCTTAACCGTTCTGCCATTACCCCTCGTGTATCACGCAGAAGTATAAAGCATGGAAGCAGAAGATTACGCCCTAAATTAGCTCCACGTCGTAGGAAAACCAGACCTGCCAAAAATAAGAATAAAAAGACAAGATCTGGCACAAAGAAACCAACCATCAAAGCTGATGCTAAATTGGAAATTCCATCAGAAATAGTTGAAGAAAAGATAAATGAAATGGAAGAAGATGATAAACAAGAACTTGATGCATCCGAGTTCGATTCAGATGATGGTATATATGACAGTCAAGATGCAAGAGAAGATTATAACGAAGACGAGTATGAGGATGGTAAAGATACTTATGAAGGAGAGGAAGATGAGAACAATTACGATTACCAAGAACCAATTGATGCCAATGATAAAACGAGATATGACAGAGGGTCAAATAAGAAGTCTAAATATGATCGCAGGGCAGGCCAGAAGTATTCAGAGGAACCATACTTGGACGAACGACCAAGATCAAGAAAGGATTATCGATCTAGGGAAAGAGACTATCCGTATGATAAAGAATATCGATCTAAGAGAAGCTCTAAACAAAGAGATTATGAAAACGATAGATCAAATGCCCGTGATCTATCATCTCCTGCCAATATCGGCGATTCTTTATCAGATGCAAAAAATTTTAAGCTTTTAAAAGACTTTGATTATAAAGACACTTCTGGAAGAGGTAATAATGATGAAATTAATGATTACATGGATCGCTTGAAAAATCTTACATCCTCGGAATCTCAACAACCAATGTATGATCAGAGACGTCCATCCGATAAGCAATCGAGAAGAGATACTATGTATGATAGTCCCAATATTCAACAAAAAGGAAATATGTACGATCAGCAAAAAAACGATAAGTTTGATCAACTAAAAGATGATAGATACAATCGAGATGGGTCTTCCAACATGCAATCAAGAGGTAATAGATATAACCAGGACATCCCATATGACAACATGCAAACAGAAAATGGACGTAGTACTAGGCCTCCTACAGATGAAGAAAGAGAGCGACTAAGAAGAAGGGGTTTGGAAGTAGTAGAGAAAGTCATAGTTCAAGGTAAAGTTGATGGTGTGTCAGGGGATAACTTGAAGAATTTGAATGTCCAAGGACAGCAACAAAAGAACGCCAAATTTGCCTCATCAACTGTTTATGAAACTATTGCTAAGCGTAACTTGCAGAATCAGGAATTTATGAACTCTTCTAATATGAACCCATCTGTCCAGCCTCCAAGTGGTATTCCACCGGCCTATAACAATCAGCCACAAAATCCTTATGCACGACCGGGCATTAATCAAGGTCCAATGAATCCACCGTTATACAAATAATGAGTGATTAAATCATTAAGTTAATAAGTTTAATAATATAACGTAAATTAAATGACAGATGGACATTAAAACTTTATTTGATAATCTCATTGAGGGATTTTTCATCAATCATGTCAATCATTCTTTTCAGGTTTTCTTCATTTTTATCTTCTAGAGTTGTATTAAGTCCAAGATAGCCTCTTACCTGATCTTCTGTAAAGGCACCCCACAGTTGTGACTCAGTATTGTTGCATTCATTGAATTTAGCAATGATTGCGTCTTTATTGTAACTTTCAACAGCATCTAAACACTCCATTCCACTGACAATCTGGAATGTTCTTGGATATTTTGTTCCAGCCTTAATAATATAAATATTTGGATCATGACTGTTGTTGGTAAATGGCTTATACTTGATTGTGTCAAAATGTCGAAATGATCTTAAACCGTCCAACGTTTTAAAAACAACACCACCACTCCACGCTTCCTGTAGAGTGAAAATTTGACTGTTCAACATATCTTTGCTTAAAATTTTGATTTCGAGCATCTTATACTCCTTATGAATCAGGTCGGCCTTTGAGATCGTCAGTACCTTACTGGGATAGGCCTGGTTGGCTAGTGCAACTCGAATGTCTTTGAGGCGTAGGGGAAGAAAACCGAAAATTAAAGTGAAATACAAAATTAACATTGTGTTTTTCATTTCTGTTTCGTTTAAGTGTTTTCAATGTTTTATCTGTCAGTTGCAGGGATGCTTGCAAATATTAAAGACTGCCTAATATTTATGAAACAAATAGACCAGAGTTACAAAATTCAACACTAAACAAGACTAAAATGCCTCAGTCTCGCACTAAGACTGAAAAAAGCAATCATTGAGGACATTTACTGTGAAGATTTCCATTTTTTATTGTAAATAAATGTGCATAGAAACACACTTTTAAATGCTAAATGAAGACACAAAATAGCATGCTCAGCAAAACCAACCATTTATTTTTCTAAAGTCTTAATGAGTGCATTAAACGTTTGTCCTGCCACACTTACTGGACTGTAAGCAGCACCTGCAAATTTCTGCTTGCAGCTTCTGCACTTCCAAATACCAACACAAGTTCTTTTAACACCAAGCTTTCCACATGACTGACAAACATACTTACGGTGCTGTGATTCCTCTATAGTCTTCATTCTCTTTCTTAGTGTTGCACCATACCTTGCACCGTATTTTCCTGTTATTCCAAGCTTTTTTGTTCCTCTCGACATTCTTGGGAAGGGAAAAATTTTAGATGAAAAATTTTGTAGAAAAGCCAGGAATATGGCAGAGATCACACAAAACAAACTCTTCCAAGCATAAATATAAGGCTATATAACAAATTCAGCCTCAGTCAATGAGCAATTATTGTATTTATAAAGTGCAAATACATTATTAAAATTAGGAACTGACAATCTACAACAATTTATGAGTTTCTATCAATTAGCTATTGCCTATTTTACTTTTGTACAGAACACTCTTTTGAAAACTAATTTATTTTTATGCTTGAAACTTGTTTCAAGCATAAAAATAAATTAATTAATCAGTAAACAGGCATGATGTTATTAATTATGTTTTTAGTATTTGTATTGACTCAGTGTAAATCAAGTGCTGGATTTTTATACTCACCTATTACTAACTCATTTATTTGTAACTCAAATGAACTGAGTAAGACTGGATCAATACCTCTGAGGTTTGTCATTAGTGTTCCTGATACACACAACAAAAGACGGAGTGGGAAGTTTGAGCTAAACTTTGATGTGCTGAACATTAGCGGAAGACCAGGCAACGGAAATAAAATCAGCATCAATCGGAGGGGTGAGGTCAAACTGTACAAAGGCGATCGATGTGAAGCAGCTTATGGCATGCATTTGAAAACCGAGATATGCAAAAGAACGCCTAGGCAAATTTTTATTTGGGTGCCAGAACAGCACTTTTCAGAGTTTGTTAATGTAGTTGTAAATAAGGCAGAGAAGCTAGGCAAGAAGGATGAACAGCAAAAGGATCCATACTCAGAATTAAAAGACTCAATAGACGATATTAAGAAATTGGTTAGATCAAAGAGAAGGCTGTCAAGAACAGTGTCAGATGATTGTAAAAGTCCATTAAAGGAGCTGTGTGAGAAAAATGGTAAAAAAGGCAAGTTTACCGATCGGATGGTAGACACCTATTTATGGGCTTACTGTACAAGCAGACCAACACCTAAGGAGTGCGACAGCATTATGATGAGGGATAGAATAGACAAGAATGTGTGTCTTGAGGAAAACACAGGTATAGGACAGCATGGCGTAGCTAAAGATTCAAGAATATCACTCGGATCATCTGGAATAGTAGATCAGATCTCTTCAATGTTAAAAAAGCGAGGTATTGAAGCACACTCACATCAACCTTCAAAAACTAGGCAGAGAATGAGAGGAGAAGACTCATCGGACATGAGCATGGGCCATTGTGAATGCAAGTTCGAATGTGTAAGAAATCCAAAGAATGGAAGGTGCTTTTATACATACACAAAGGATGGTAAATTAAAACCAATAATGAAAAGTGAAAACTGCTGTGAAAAAAACAAAGCCCGTTTGTGTGACTATGATAATATAATAGAAAAATACCTATGCGAATTGACTGCAAAGAACGATCATGTTAGTAAGTTTCTTGATGATAATTTTGTATGCGACTAATATAAATACCCAGTAAATAGACAAGCTCAATGACACAATATCAAAGCTAGTTTTATCAACACTAACTAGCATAGAACATAAAATTTTAATAAAATTTAAGCTTATTTTGAGATAATATTAAATTGTATGGTAATTACAGTGTGTCAAATATTGACAGATTAAAATTGCAATATTTCACCCATTTTTATTTTAAGTACTAACTGCTAATAGCATGTGCTGTGATTGTATCTTTAAGTTAGCTTGCTGTCTTTAAAACACTACTTTGTTGCTTCACCTATTATAAAAATTGTCTCTTCCACCCTCAAATGGAAATGCTCACTCTAGAAAATTTAGTTCTCAGTAAGAAACAAGCCACAGTAAAAATCGGAGAAGACTCAGTGTCGATCAAAGTAGGAGAACAAAGCATAGATCTTTCGATAGGCAATATTAAGAACTTTGAACTTTTTAGAGGGATTAGAGCATTTTGCATAAGAATATGCTATTCTCCATCAGAAACACAGGCGAATATATTCTATGATCTTCACAATGTGCATGAAAGCTACCTAGTCAAGCTAAGAACTGCGATCTCCTCCATCTTTGGGTCTACTCTTCCTGTCCAAGATCTTGAGACACTTCATACAACACAGGGCAATCTGGTCTACACCAACGATCTGATATCACTCCAGTCAGACAAGCAGGTATTTAGTATTCCAAAAAGCTCAATTAAGAAAGTAATAGAGTTGGACAACGACATTCAACTTGACTTGGGTGACATTGAAATAGTATTTAATACAACCAGTAATATCACACACTTTATAACTGACAAACAGTCAGAAGAAATATGCATTATTACAGGCATAAACTGCATTAATCCACGTTCAAAATCTACTTTTGTGTTCTTTGATGACTATTTTGTTCTGAAAGGGTCATCATACGATCATACAATTTCATTTTCTGACATTTCTGAGATATTCTTTTTGAAAAACGACTCTTCATTTTACTTGGTTTTGAAGCTTGAAAACAGCATTGTCCAAGGCCAAACCAGATACGAGTCGCTTGTGTTCCTTCTAACGGACAAAGAGTTAGAAGTGGTAGCCAACGATCCTAGATTAAAGAACCATTATTTCGGAAGACAGTACGATGTATTACTAGAAATAATTGAAGGCCTTTTGAAGATTAAGGCACAGGAGAGTGAGCTGTTTTTCAAATGCACCTCAAAAGTATTTGACGGTCATCTTTACCTGCTAAGTGAATCACTGCTGTTTTTACCAAAATCCATCTGCATTCCGATCGAAGAGATTTCTCATGTTGAGTTTTCTAGAATCAACCTGAGTGTAGTACAAGCGAAAACGTTTGATATGACAGTTCATGCATCAAAAGTGTATAATTTTAGCGGTATCCAAAAAGATGCATTCAATCAAATTGAACTGTACTTTAATGAGAAGAATATTAAAATGGTGTCTGAAGTGATTGAAGATAGCTATTCTGGAGAGTCGGAAAGAAGTGAAGATGAATACTCATCAAATATTAGCGACATTGTGGAATCAGATGAATAAAGGAATGATATTTAATCAATATTAATATGCACTACTGTCAATGTCATATTTCTGATAGATGTCTGTTACTGTGATAGTAGTTTTTAATATAATATTATTGATAGAATCACATCCCTATTTTATTTAATTAAACAATCAATCATCCCTGTAATCTTCTAAATTATGCCAGTTTAATACTAAGCAATTGTAAATTGCCTTGAATCACGTACAAACCAGTCTTTTTAGTGTTTGTACATTGTCAATCAATTTAGCAGTACAAAAATAATAGAAAAGTTTAGCAAGCCATTCTTTTGTTATTTCTGAAACACATAGTTTTGTTGGTAAACGCTGCAACAAACTTTGTTTCACACGTTATTTTTAATAATCAAATAAAACATTGGACAAAATGAACACACTTCTGGTTCTAATTGCCATTGCAGCAGGTGAGTATATAAGGGTATTGACTCAGAAAAACAGTTACATGGGTGTCAGTTCAGACAGCAAAAAGGTATTTGTAGTTGACAAGACAAAGGCCACCAAGTTCGTAAGGGAAAAGGCACCAGAAAGAAACGACAAAGTGAAAATAACATTTGAAAATGGGACCAACCAGCTTTTTGAGTCAAATGACAAACACCTTAAATACAAACCATCCGCGGGTACGTCCTTTGAAGTTCTTTTTATGAAAAAGAACGATGGAAGTGGATTTGCATTAAAAGGCAGCAAAGGCTGTGTCAAAGTCAAAAATAATGAATTTAAGCTTGGAGACTGCTCCGACAGCGAAGTTGCCTTGCTTGCGTTTGTCGACAATACGAGCGGTGAAAAACTTGACGAGATAATAAGGTTTGATAAAAATAAGAGAAGGACCACATCCACTGAATTCTCACCAGCAGAACTCAAATGGACAAATCTAACACCAAGTGATATTGATAAGCTTATATTACCGTTTGACAGGAGTACATGTGATAAGAAGTGTCCAACCACTGGGGAAAGAGTGTTTGTCAAGCTTAACTAATTCTGAATGATTAAATATTATTTAAATACCAGTATTTGAGTCTAATTTACTGTAGTTTTAATAAAATAAATGTGGCTAATATTGAAAGGTTGATATTAACCATAATCCAGTGTGATGACAGCAGTTTATTGATTACATAAATCCTCATTCTTCCTATTCGACTTATTACACTCTTTGACTATACTTAAAAACCTTCTCTGTGCTTCCTTGATGTTTCTATTGTTTCCACTCCACACTTCGAGAACGCATCCTGTAAGTGCTCTACAAAAACTAAAGCTAAGCACAAGACCTTTGTACGTGTTGTATTTATGTATTAGGGATAGTATTTCGAAGGACTCTTCAGTGGAATGGCCCCCACTGAGGAATAAAACCCCACCCAAAGCCCATGGAACACTCTCAGCAATAACCGATACATTTATAGCACCAACGTCCATTGGTTGTTGCACGTGTGTGTATCTGCTGCCCTCAGTTATAAAACTACACTTCAGCAGTATGCCAGGCAGAAACAGGTTCATTTTATTAGCCCATAAAAACAGCGTACTGTATATCTTTTTTGCCACTGTTGCCATGCCGTCTATGGAATAGCATCCCTCAATGCTGATTTCGGGTTCCAATATTGGAACTTTTCCATGCTTTTGGGCAATTATGGCGTATTTACATAGTACAATACAGTTTTGTTCAATGCATGAGTCGCTAGGCCTATGCTCTGAGATTTTGAAAAGGGACCGCCATTTACAAAATGAAGCAACCTTGAATTTATCTTCTCTAATCCTGTTCTCTAAATCCTCGATTCCCACACTGATCTTCTCATTACTCCCAAAGTCCATGAGACCTTTGTCCATCTTTACACCCACCTCAATATTTCTACTTGTAAGGTGCTGAACAAGCGAAACCCCCTCACTATTACACTGTCCAAAAGTTTCTTCGTTGAGAATCACTCCGCCAATGTACTTTTCCAGTTCAGGGGTGCTGAAAATACAGTCTCTGAATTTGATTCTATTTTCTTCTGTGTTTGCTATACCGTGTGATGTGAATTTAGGCTCAAGAGTGCTAGATTTTTCGTCTGCAGCGAGTATGCCCTTATCGTTTTCCAACATTTTTTTTACTTTCATGGCAAGATGGAATTTTTCTTCATCACTGATTCTCAAGGTTTTTTGCATTTAAGGAGTATTTTTGGGACCATTTACACAGAATATTTAAAGATTATTATCAAATAAAGTATCCAATAAATTTAACAACCAATAACTGTCATTTTTATTGACAGAGCCAATATTGATTTGGTCAAATGTCTAAGTTGATGTGGTTTGCATAGTAGAATACTTTAAAGCTATTTTTGGTTGCAAATCGCATTGGAATTCCTAAAGAATAAAGCACAAACAGCTTGCTAATAAACAGTGCTTGATTAAGTAATACACAGGATTTGATCTCAAAGACTCTTTCTTTGGCTTTTATCATAATAGAAACAAGGTTTTTCTTTTTGTTTGTTAATTTGGGTTAATACATCCCATGCTATCAAGAGCAGAAATACTACGAAATTCAAGTAGGGCTACTCTTCCATCACCCCCTGCAAGGAGTCTTGAAGAAGAGTTTTCATTCTGGCAAAGTTTTTCAAGGTTTATGACCATTCTCATTCCCGATTGTGTGCTTCGTAGAATAGGGAAAATGGATAACCCAGCAAGAATTCAGGCATGGAGAGAAAAAGTAACATTATGCATTCTAATATTCTTTACTTGCATGCTTTTGGGGTTTATTACATATGGAATAAACCTTTTTGTTTGCAAAGGATCAAATATAATAATTTATGGGAAAATCAAACCGTCAATAATGAAAACAGATTACATATTAGCCAACGGCGGGATATTTGAAGCCGATCAGTACTATGGAAATGAAATACAGAACCACTTATTTGCAAGAAACATTGATGCCTGCAAACAAGCATTCGGTGGACAGCTGCTAGATGGGGATTTCGAAGAAAAAGATTTTATTAGAGTGTATGATCTACACTTTGACTGGGCAGATGTAGAAAAGAAGAAGTTCATTGTAATAGACAATAAAGTCTATGATCCCACATACTGTACCGAACCTTACTTTGATGAGTTTATCAAAAAATATGCTGGGGGCAGAGCTAATACTAAGGGACTAGATAAGACCTGTTTAGATTGTTTTAAATATACCTTTCTGGCTGGTAAAATTTCAACAAGAACTGCAGGATGTATCTTTGGAGATGTACTGCTATGGCTGTCTACTGTTGTAATATTTTCTTTAATTTTTGTGAGATTTTTCCTTGCAATGTTCTATGCATGGTACATGAGGACGAAGCCAGTATCAATCAGAGGCACTACGCCCTGTATTCTTCAGGTTACATGCTACAGTGAGGGGATGGATGGATTGAAATCTACCCTCGATTCATTAACACTACTTGAATATGATCCTGATTATAAACTTATTATTGTGGTTGCTGATGGTGATATTAAAGGAGCTGGTAACGAGCTGAGTACACCACAGATCCTTCTAAACATGTGTCAGGTTGATAATCCTGAGCCCAAAGCATATATCTCACTGGCGCCTGGCCATAGAAGATTTAACCAGGCCAAGGTACATACTGGATATTATGAAAAGGATGGAAAGAGGGCCAGAATTATGATAATAAACAAGGTGGGAAATCCAAATGAAATATCAAAGAAGGGAAATAGAGGAAAAAGAGACTCACAGGTAATTTTGATGTCGTTTTTCTCAAAGATCTTGTATGGAGACAGAATGAGTGAGCTTGATTTTGAAATTTATCGTAAAATGTCAATGATGTTTCCAAGATTCAAGCCAGAGGACTTTGAAATTCTCCTGATGGTAGATGCGGACACAATCGTCCATGGGGATGCATTAGTAAAAATAGTCTCTGCATTTGAAAAAGATCCTAAAATTATGGGACTATGCGGTGAAACACAGATTCTCAATAAAAATGAAAGCTGGGTCACAAGAATACAGGTATTTGAATATTACATTAGCCATCACCTGACTAAAAACTTTGAGAGTGTCTTTGGGGGTGTAACATGTCTTCCTGGCTGTTTCTGTACATACAGAATAAAGATTGTTACAGATGAAATGGGCCAGATAAAGAACCACACAGATAAAAAGACAAGACCTGATGAAAAATGGGAATGTGTGCCACTGCTAGCAAATCCACTGATTGTAAATGCATATTCAGTCTATGAAGCGAAGACCCTGCACGAACAGAATCTTTTGCACCTTGGCGAAGATAGATACCTCACAACATTGTTAATGAAGAATTTCTACAAAAGAAAATTGATTTTTGTACCATCCGCCAAATGCTCGACTTACGTCCCTGCCGACTATAAAACTCTTAGATCACAGAGGAGAAGGTGGATAAACTCAACGATCCACAACATGTTTGAACTTGTTTGTGTAGACAAACTGTGTGGCACGTTCTGTTTTTCAATGCAGTTCGCAATAGGCTTTGAACTCTTTGGTACATTAACACTACCTGCTGCAATAGTATTTACAGGTGTTCTTCTTGTATCAGCATTTATAACCGAGCCAGCCTGGATTCCACTAATAATGCTAGTAGCTCTGCTTGGTCTTCCAGCCGTTCTGATCATGCTTACGACATTTGAAATTCAGTACTGGTTCTGGCTTATCATTTATATCTTTGCACTTCCAATATGGAATTTTTTCTTACCCGTATATGCCTTTTGGAGGTTTGACGATATTTCATGGGGCGATACTAGAAAGGTTAATGAAAAGGGTGGCAAAGACGAGGTTGGGCTGTTTGACTCATCTTCCGTCAAGCTCAAGCACTTGGAAGAGTTTATGGCTGAAAATAAATAAATCAAAGTTAAACTAATACTTTAGCAGAAAACATGCTTATGCGACTTTTAAATGAATATGCTAAATGGCGGTTTAACTGAAAAGCCAATAGCTAGGTCTTTTTGTCATATTATCTTTTCTGTTCTTTTCCATCATGGCCCTTTCATTTAGAAACTATGGTGAGCGAGAACTCTGCTGAACTAAATGCAGTAATTCAAAGTGCAATGAACAAGCTAAAGGAGACCAACGATTTAGAGGCTGTTCGTGTTGAACTACCAACAGACATTTTGTACTGGCAGTCTCTTTTAGAGTTTATTGAAAATCCTGCAACTTCAGCACGTGTCTTCAAATGCAGATTCTACAGAACTATCTCGGAAGTCAAGCCTGCTGAAAGTGCACTAAAAGAATTGGGTATAGATGATAGTTTAGTCTCTACAGAAGGAGATTTAGTTACTGTTATAGTTTTGTGGATCGAAAATCTGCTTTTAAATCCATTTGGGATTTTTAAAATACTCAGTGAAAGACAATTTAATTTCCTAACTGATTTTTTAATATCCTTCGTCGTGGAATGTACCAAATCTACTGTAATTGGACACAATGTTAGGAAGAATGAAATCAATCTAAAATGGGCAGTGAAGAAGCACATTCTACGATGCCTTGCGCTTCTTGCAAAATCAACACTGAACACATCTGATTCACCAATGCATAAGACTAGGGAAGTCTACACTGTAAACACCGATCATACTTCATATGCTGTCTTTGGCCATCCTGTTTCTGCTGTTTCTTTCTACTGCTTCCTAAAGCATCTATCCATAGTGTATGGAGAATTACTTCAAACCAATCCAACCAGTGATCTTATTTTAAACTTTGAAGACGATGAATCCTTAGTTGTCAAAAGATACAAAATAAAGATACTCAGCAATATTTCGAACGAGAGGAATGTACTCGATAGTCTTAGAGTGCTGTTGACGATGATAAACCATGAAAGCTCAAGGCTAGGATGGACTCTGTGCAAGGCTATTCATAGAATGAGCAGATCAATAGATAGAAAGTCTTTAGTTTGTGATCTAATAGAATCACTGGGGCAAAGAATATTCTCTAATGAGCAGTGCTGGATAAACGTGCTTACTATTATTTCTTTTATTGTTCTTGAGATGGGCAATGACGTTGAAGAGCCTCTGTTTGATGATTTTAATTTTGTAAATATTGCACTGTCTTATGATAATGAATTTGTACAGAAAAGCTCAAGCCTGAGAGAGTCGGCATTGTTTTTTGTGTGGTCCGTGGTTAGGTCCACTGCTTGCATAGCATTAGAACAGTATAATCTTGATAGTGTTATTTCTCGAGTAGTTTTCATGTCCCTATTTGACCGCGAGTTTATTTGCAGACGCGCAGCTGCAAATGTACTTCAAGAAATTTTAGGAAGAATGGCGGTAAATGAGAACAGTCTAAGCAAATATCCACTGCTGTTGGAGCCAGAGACCTTGTTTACGATTAACGGTAGTTCAGTAAAACGAAGACCTGAGTGCCTTAAAAGTTTTTCACAAATCAAACACAAGACACCCTTTGAGCCATTTGTCTTCAATTCCTTGTACTCTTTTGATAAAGAAACAAGAGAGATGTCTGCTTCAGCAGTTGCAGCATACTTCGATCCTTTCAAGGTTCCTATAAAATACAAAACTGTTTCTGAAGTTGATGGGACTCATTTACTAATCAATGAATGCATTCATAATTCTAATAGTGGCACAGAGCATAAATGTAGCAATGGAAGAAACGACCAAGAAACAACACTCTGCCTGTCAAATATTATTGACAACTTTGGATCTTTCATTAATTCATTTTCCCTCACAAATTTGACTTATAAAATTAGAAACATGGACTTGGCTATTGAGTCGTACTTAAAAATAGCCAAGTACTTTGATTTGTCAGTATTTTTTACAAACTTCATTTTTTTAGTCAACAGGAATTTTAGTCCAGTTTCAATGCAAGGATCCAGCCAGGTACTTTTTGAAAATCCAGAATTTTCAAGGAGGCTCTTTGCTTTAATCAATAAAAACAGCACTTCAGTCCTTGTAAATTCAAACAATCGTCTATTTAAGGCAGAAGTCTTGAGAAAATACACAGAAAACCTTGAAAAGCGCATATTGATACAGCATTCCATTGAAGCCATTACATTAATGAAGCATTTCCCACTTTACGACCATCCATTAATTAGCCTTATAAAAGACTATTTGTCTGACTACTCTGTTGATTTTAACGGGGATATTGGATATTTTAATAGAAGAGCGTCCTTTTTGTATTTTCTAGAGCACTATCCGAAATACGATTGATCTGCCAACTACCGATAGGAATTTCGCAGCTTCATCTGAAAATACACCTTTCAAAGAAGAATCGCGAGAACTGCAGACCATGTTTGAAAGATGTGTGATACGATTTATGGCTGATAAATCCAAGAAGCTAAGGGACGAAGTGCTCTGCTTACTGGTAAAACACCAGTTTCCAGGATTTTCAGGAGACTTCCCCCAGCTTCTAATCTCTGATGCGATGAAGACTGGTGGAGCGTTCATAATTCTGTACGTTGAGGAGTTTAAAAGGTTCTTTGAAGTTCATTCTGGACTATTTGGAAAAAATGGGCAGGAAGAATCCTACTTCAAAGCTTTATTTTATGCATTTTCTAACTTTGACGACTTTTGGATTGGCATTTCCAATACAGTTAGTGTGGCTGATTTAGGCCTTAAAAATACTTTAAAAGCTGCGATAGAAACGAACTATCCTGAAAAGCTAAGTCTGCTTAGATAGCCAAACGCTTAGCTGGATGAACAAATTGTTATTTTTAGCACTACTTATATCAGGCCTATTACTTTTGAGAACAAGGAAATGCAAGGCAGGTAGATCCCATTTAAAAGAAAAAACGCCACGTTATTGGTAAGTCTGCTAAGTAGGTGAACCTAATTAAAAAGAGGACAATTTGTTCAAAATAGATGCCTGCCAACTAGCATGGTTATCGTTTTAGCTGATAAATTCAAAAAGTATAATGTTTGTTATTATAAGGCAATAGCAAAGCATTGGACTGGTGCTGTTTTTGTATTGCGTCATTTTCTATTTTACAAAATTTTTCTGTAAAAATTTTCACCCACCATACATGAGTGACTTAGCAAACGCATGCAGAGCAATAAACAACGCTGCTAGAGCCAAGAAAAGACAGGTGTTCATCAAATTTATAAGCAATGAAACCAAGCATTTCTTAATTGAAATGAAAAAGCACGGATACATCTCGTCTCTTTCTTTTGTTCAAAGCTTAAACAAAGAGAAGGCCCTCGTTGGTCTTAATGGACGTTTGACAAAGTGTGGAGCCATATGCCCAAGGTTTATGTATGCTGCAAATCAGGTTTTGGAGACAGCAAATCGCCTTAAACCAGCTAGACAGTTTGGACATGTGCTTTTCAATACACACAGGGGGTATCTTGATCAAAACGAGGCAGTACAAGCAAGAATAGGAGGTGCCATTATAGGATTTTTCTATTAAAGCTTTTGACGATAGTTGTGACTATTTTACTTGTCTGTTGGTCTATTCTGTTTAATATGCATTCTATAGCCACCTTAAAATATTTCCATTGCCTTGAACTTCAATTTCTTTAAGGAAGTCGTTGTTTTGACATAATTACTGGGGCAACCGCCAGCTCACCTATACATTGGAATCCTCATACAGGCCGTGAGCTTGTATGATTTCTGACATGTTAGTAGCTTAGTCTACCATCCATAAAGAAGGATACTCAAGTGTACCAACCAAAACACTTTTAAATTTTCTATTATCGACGGCAATATAAGTACTTTCGTATTGCCAAGCTTTCATGATGGCTCTGATTGGTTTAGTAACGTAAGCTTCGGAAAAGTATAGATAAACATAAACAAACGGAGCCACAACGTAGGATTTTTAAACACAGGAACATAAAGCATGACATCGCAACAACTCTTTCGCAGACAAAGCGCATAGAAGCTGCTTTCTTATCATTCTTACATCCGCTTTTTGTTTTAAGCATAATTTTCTTGTGGACAAGGCTCAGATTTGAAATACATACATTACAGTTGAGAGCCTGGCCATTAACGAAGATTCCGTGCTTGTTGTAATATTTTATTTTTTAATGCTATTTTTAGTAACAGGCTTGCAGACAGTGATTTTTTGTCTGTCAACCCTGAAAAGTCTTTTGTAACTGTGTATTGGTCTATATTCTATTTTTCTTCTCTGGTCAGCAGTTAATCCTGCAGAGCTCTGAAATTGATACAAATGCGGTAGAAAGGGGGGCTCACACCTCAAATTTTCTACATCCTCCCAGTTAACATCTTCAAAATACGGATGACTCATTATTTCCTCTATTCCCTTGCATCCAAGTCTACTTTCTCTATCTTTAATTAGCAGCTTAGTTAGCAAGTCCTGTATTGGCCCCGAAACATCATCTGGAAATGCTACTGGCTCCGATAAAATTCTTTTGTAGATCACATCTGTCTGTGTGCTGTAGTATGGTGGTGCTCCACAGACCATTTCGTATATTAGACATCCAAATGACCAGTAATCTGTCTCCTTTGTGTCTCCATTTCCTAAAAGCTTTTCAGGCGCCATATACTCGGGAGTTCCGCATAAAAGAAATACATTTGTATTTACTTTTGTTGCAAACCCAAAATCTGCAAGTTTGATGTGCCCATCACCACTTACAAGTATATTTTCAGGTTTTAAATCTCTGTAAATTATGTCCTTGTTGTGTATGAACTTAAGTGCCATGAGCACTTCACAGCTGAAAAAAAGAACAGCTTCCGGTGGGAATCTTCCATACTTTTTCATGTAATAAAAGAGCTCTCCGCCTATTACATACTCCATGATAAGAAACATGTTGGTTTCAGTTTCAATTAGCTTTTTGTATTTCACAACAAAGGGGCTACTGCTCACTTCTGCCAGGATATTCGCTTCGCTCTGGATGTTGTCTAGCTGTCTATTTTCTTTAAGAAGCTCCTTGTCCATTCGTTTAATCGCATAGTACTTGTTACTTCCGATAAGCTTTGCAAGAAATACTTTGCCAAATGTGCCGGTTCCTATAATCTTCAAAAAGTCAAAATCTCTCAGCGTTAGCATACTGTTCTGGGGTGAGATTTTTCTTGTAAAAAATTTACCTTTCCAAAAAGAGTATAAATGGCAGAGCACAAACATAATACTAGTAGAAAGATTATAGATAGAGGGCATGTATTGGGTTGCATAACTGTGCATGAAAAGAGTAAAATCATATTACAGTGACAGGCACTTGTCAATCCTTATCCATCTCAGAAGTTAACAATTAACTGTTATATTGACCTTAAGTATGGTAATAATATCCATATTACAGTAAGCAAAATTTTGGATTTAACATACCATCGACGGACCAAGTCATAATAATTCTGTCTTCTTCACATTCTGTTATTTAAATTATGGGGAATGGCAGATTTTGATGATTGCCAACTAACGATTTGTTGTAAAAATTTAATTTAAAAATTTTATTTTCCTCGCATTTAGCCACCACCTATAACTCTATTTGGAGAGCGTTATATTTAGTAAAGACCAGGCATCTTATAACAGAAGATCAGGTTCTAGATCTTACTGAGATTTACAAGGTATTGCCTGAAAAGACATCGGAAAATGATATCAATGATGACATTATCAATGATGATGTCCCTGAAGAGTTTCTTGATCCACTCACTTTTACAATAATGGAAAACCCAGTGCTGATGCTGACGTCGAAGATAACCATTGACAGATCGACATTTAATCAGATAATGCTTAATGATCGAATAGATCCCTTCAGTCGGCTGCCGTTAGACGAGAGTCAAATTGTGGACAATGCTGAGTTGAGGGAGAAAATAGAAGATTTTAAGAAAAAAGGAACTAGTTAGGAGTAAAGTTTGTATTTTATGTAACAGTTTTGTCTTTTATTTACACAATACCCATTTACTGTGCATTAAAAATGTAAATAATAAACATGCTCTAATATATTTTAGTCATACAATACCATGCTTAGGAACAGCTTCGGATTTTTTAACGGTCTTGCGCATGCACGTGTACCCACTTTTAACAAAGAGTGTTCGAATTACAACTTCAACAAATAAAAAAAGAACCATATTTGGGCCAACAATCCAATGAATAAACCCGCAAAGCCAGCTGTTGATAAACCAAGCAAAGAAGCCATAAACAGTACCATACATCATGTAGTACATTATATATAGAAGAAAACGTTTGTTTATAAAGGCACAAATACCTCTTCCATACCCCAGCACTGTGAATAGCGTGATTAAGAACCATAATGTACCATAGCTTGCTCCAGAATACATTAAGGGAGCATATTCACTCAATGAATAATTTTTTTGCCAAAAGCAAATAATGATAACACAATTTGATGCAATCATTAATACGTTAAGACAAGCGACAAGCCAAGTTGCACCTCTGGTAAACCGACTGCCAATTGGTGCAATGCAGGTAGCTCGCTGTCTTTTAAGCACAATAAGCGTGAAAACTAGTTGGAGAATGGCAACTGCTGTTAGGGCAAAATGGATGTACTTACACACTTTGATTAATGTGCCAATGCTATCGTCGACGAGTTTTCCAAAGATCTCATCAGGATTTTTATCAGAAAATTCTTCCAGATATGTCATGATGGATTCCTTAAGAGGCAATGCCTCGGGCTTTACATCCCTTTTATAATTAGAGTGATTAGTCCAAAAATCTACGCCTAACTCGTCTCTGATTGGTTGATCATAAGTGATATTTGGACTTGAAGTGGTCGTTATACTATTCTTTGAGTCTGGGATCATTTTTCTAGGTCAAAAATTTTTAGATTTGATAAAATTTTTAGATCAGATCAATCAAATAAAAATTTTATTTGACAGCATTCAATTACTATACACTTAAAAGAAGGCAAATTGAATGAGCTAACACACCAATTTACATATCAAAGAGGGCTCCAGTGCCATATACAGCAAAAAATCTTTGAATGTAGAACTTGCAGTGTTTATTTCATCCGCTCTGATCTTTTGCAAATACAATCTTACGTGTTTTCATAAATGATGTCAAAATAGTTGATATGATTGTAACTGCAAATATGATTGACAGTTGCATATATTTTATTAATTAAATTAATTTATTCAACCTCTTTAGTTAAATCCTGCATTTCCTGTTCCTGTGATGTCTTTATATCTGAAGAAGTTTGCGATTTTCTGGTTCTCCACTAGGTAAATGCCATTTGTAATGTTAGTAGTATTTTCATTTTTCATCCCAACTTCATTCATACACAAAATTGATGATCAAAAATTCACTACCTTTTGCTTTTTTATATTTCAAGACGGCTGGAAATTAGCATTTACAAATTGATAGAAGACGTGAAGGAGTACATCAGAACAGCTTTAACAGTGATACACTAAACGAATGCTCCGATCGCTAAACAATTCCGAGGCTGGGTTGTGAGCTATTAAAGAAGAACACTGATAATGCAGAAATTAAGCTGTAATATCGTAATATATGTATTTTCTATACACATACACTAGACAAATACTTTTAGTTATTAATAGTACAGCACTCTTTAATACCAAATTACCAATTATTTGTAATAAGAATATTTCAATTTTATGCATATAAGCCATAGATAACTTTGAAACATGTTTATTGAGCTTCATTTCCGACTGCCTGTTGCAGTTCATATGAATTCAGTTTTCTATTTTCCCTCTCACGACTGAATAG